GGCTGTTTAAAGTATTGAAGAAATTTGAAACAAGGATCAACAATCATCTGAATGGATTAAAGAGCAAGATTGTTTTATGTAAAAAGAAGGAACACAAGGTCGGTTTATTTGACCAGAGTTAAAATGGGACATGTTATTTTTGGTGGGTCTTTTGGGATTTGCTGATATCTGGACTGGAAAAATGTTGTATATTGGATTTGCTTACAGTTAACATGGCATTTAAGTCGTTTTCCCTACAGTTACTTTATGCATCCTAATCTGACAGCATTTAAACTGGCTATGTATCTGTCTTTTTTACTTAAAATAAGGAATTTTTGTGAGCTTGTTCTTTTTAAAGGAGAAGTCATCCCTCTTTGCCATGTTAAATTCCAGTATTTTGTTTATACTAAAATACTGGGATTACTTTAAACTTTCTAAATGTGGATTTGTTTATAGTTAAGTGTTGAGATATGGAATGTTTATTTGAATGGGACATGTTGTTATTTGGGGTGATTCTCTTTGGTTTGCTGGCATCTGGAATGGAAAAATGTTGTGTATTGGGTTTGCTTACAGTTAATATGGAGTTTAAGCCTGTTTCATTATAGTTACTTTATGCATTCTAATCTGATAGCATTTAAATTGGCTTTTTATCTAATTACCTTTCCACTTAAAGTAAGAGATAATTGTGAGCTTGTTCTCTTTCAAGGAGAAATTGTCCCTTTTTGTCATGTTAAATTTTAGTCTTTTGTTAACATTAGGATACTGGAACCACTTTATGCCTTCTAAATGTAGACTTGCTTAAAGCTAAGATGTGGAATGTTGAATTTTATATATGTTAATTAACATTACTATTTTAGGGCTCTGTTTGAACTTTTTGCTGATACCTGGATTGGAGAAGATGTTACCTGTTTTGGATTTCCATTGTACTTTTTAGGCAAGGAATCAAGAGATTGCGGCAACCTGGCCACTGAAGCTGCTATTGCTGCTTTGGAACCTTGGGCCTCATTATGCCCATATTACACCTCTGCTATGTGAGCTGTACTGGTTGCCAGTTTGCTTCCTGATACAATTCAAGGTGCTGGTTACTATCCTATAAGGGCCTGGTTATTTAAGGGACCTAGCATCTCTCTGGCTTATCTGATGCTGCAGGGTTGGCTGCTCCAGATTCCTTCAATCAGGTTTCCCCAAAGTGGTCAGTACTGACCCCCAAGTGTCAATGGGATTATCTAAGGGATCAATAAATGGCTGGCAGTCTTCGTAGTCCTATTAGTTAAAGTAGTATTTATTAAATTATTTTCATATAATAAATGTTTGGGGATCGAGGAATAATCTGAAACTTCATGAAGGGGTCAATGAGCTGAAGAGTTTGGGGACCCTGGATTAAACAATGTCAAGCACACCTTCTCCATTTTATTGATTTTATTGTAATTTCTTTGTTTGATTGTTGTGATCCGCTCAGAGTTGTTGAGAGTCAGATGGCATAGAAGTTTAAATAACAACAACAACAACATCTGCCTATCCCAGGTCCCTGGGAAGGACTCAATAGATGGATAAAAATGCCAAATCCAGTCTAAACATCTGGTTGACTGTGCAACCAACAACAACATAATAATAGCTATTCTGCTTTTTCTTCTAAGGGCAAGTGCAGGAATTGTCTTAAATCAAGCTTCTAGTCATGTTAAATTCTGAGTATCATGTGAATTCTAGTCACTAGATATACAGCTGGAATAGTGGACTGGACTCAAGCCAAACTAAAAGCCCTGGATAGGAAGACCAGAAAAATAATGACAATGAATCATACCCTTCATCCAGACTCTACTTACCAAGGAGCATAGGTGGGTGTGGAATGTTACAAGTACACCAGACAGTTGAAAAAGAAAAAAGGGCATTGAAAGAATATCTGAAGGACAGTGAAAAAGATGCACTGAGGCTAGTATACTATGAAGGCTTACTGAATACCAAAGAAACCAAACTGGCCTATAAGAAAGACAAAATGAAGAACAGAAAAGAGACATGGCAAGGTGAAGTATTACACGGCCAGTGCACAAAAAAAAAATTAGCAGGCAAAGCAGATAACAACAAGACCTGGCAATGGCTAAGAGCAGGAAAGTTGAAGAAAGAGACAGAGGGGCTAATTCTGGCTGTGCAAGACCAAACTTTAGGAACAAATGCATATAAAGCCAGAACTGAGAAGACAGCAACAGACAGCAAATTCCATCTCTGCAAAGAAGTTGAAGAAACAGTGGACTACCTAGTTAGCTGCTGCAAGAAGATTGCACAGACTGACTACAAACAATGGCATGACAAAGTAGCATCAATGGTGCATTGGAATATCTGCAAGAAATACCATTTGTCTGGATAGTGGATATTGCAGTACCTGGAGACAGCAGAATAGAAGAAAAAGAACTGGAGAAAATAAAAAAATATAAAGACCTGCAAATAGAAGTAAAATGACTATGGGAGAAGAAAGCAAAGATAGTACCAATAATTATAGGCACCTTAGGTGCAATCCCAAAACATCTGGAGCACCACTTGTGGAGTTGATTTCATGGTCTGGTCTACCTAGTGGGCTGACATGTGGATTCCAGATAGAAAGCACTCTCTGTTTCCTTACCATTGCTTTTTCAACTTGAACTTTTCAGAATATCTTGCAGGTGCTCTGGGCTCCTTATCATTTCTCTGAATTTCATATATGTTGAGATATCTGTGGAACCACAGGTGGACCACAAAATAGACAAAGTAATAGAAAATGAAGAAGCTAAAGTACTCTAGGACTTTAGAATTCAAACAGACAACATCCCAGACTTAACAATTGTTCATAAGAAAGACAAAAAGTCTGGATAGTGGACATTGCAATACCTGGAGACAACAGAATAGAAGAGAAAGAACTGGAGAAAATAACAAAATATAAAGACCTGCAACAACTATGGCAAAAGTAGAACAACTATGGCAAAAGAAAGCAAAGATAGTACCAATAGTTACAGGTGCCTTAGGTCCAATCCCAAAACATCTGGAACACCAATTGAACACCATTGGCATTGACAAAATCATCATCAGTCAGTTGCAAAAGGCAGCTTTACTTGGAACAGCC